CAATATTTTCATGTTTTTTATATAACAACTGACTGAGGAAAAATGGATAGAACATAGGCTAGTATGCATGGGACACCACGGCTTGTCTTACTAGAACAATTACGACTGAGTAGTGAGTTCGATATTCACTGGGCGCCCCACACATTTGGCCTTGTGCCACAACTAAGCTACGTTTAGAAAATCCGCATGTACTAGTATGCATGTAAAAGAAAGAAATGTATCATTTATGCGAGTGTGCGTGTAAAAGTTTAGCCACTATGAGGAAATACATCCCCATGAGTAGGACATATTGTGCGTTACGACTCCTGCATGCTAGATGGAAAATAGAGAAAAGAGAAAGAAGACAGGAAGTGTGCCGTAGCATAGCTGCACCTAACGGTGTCTTGGTAAAGCCAAGTTCGGTTAGTCCACAATCTTGACATCTACGTCATCCAAAAACCTATTTTTTCCGAAATTAGAATGGTTCACACGTAAAAGATGAGATTCAAAAATCAGGAGTTTCAACTTGTTAAAATAAAAGGTTTCAGATAGGATTTGTTTTTTCTATACGTCTTATTTTAATCGAACCAACTTAATGGCTTTTGGATTTGGGTTCTATCGACTAAGAAAAACGTGTAGGTTCTGTTCGTTCTTTCACCAAACGTTTTCATATTTTTTTTATTTATTATTCTGTAAGTTTTAAAAATTCTTGTTTATTTTAGATAATTATTCTCATCACCAAAAGTTAACGCATGTATAATTTATAAACGAGTTACTATGTGCGAATTGCTATAACAAGTACAAATACAATCAGATAAAAGATAAACTAATCGAAAATTAGTAATAATAATACTTCACCAAAGAAATTCGGACATAGACATCCCAACGATAACATTAAAAGCACATTTACAAACTTATCACTGCTAATAAAACAGATATAGGATACTTGAAACCCACAAAAAAAAAAACTGGTGAAAACCAATAATCTCTCACATTCCTTGAGCTGTTTATAATATCTCCAGAACAATCAACCTAATCATAAAATCATGACTGCTATCAAAATATTGCTTAAACTTCCCAGATGATTTCATCCAAATCCTCAAAAATATAAATCAAATAACGGCCTATTAGCATCTGTGGTCACCAAAAAATCTATTTACCATTTTACCAATGCTTCTATAAAAAATCATCGCTTTCCAGTGCAAATATATAACAAACAATTATTACAAGGCTACGCCAGACATGTTCCCTTTATATATATATATATATATATATATATATATATATATATATATATATATATATATATATATATATATATACAGTGGAAGGAAATAAATATTCGCACATATGAAAAATTGTATTTTTATAAATGTAAAAGCCTTAACTAAAACAAATTTTGATACATTTTATGTGTAAAGATACATTTTATTAAAAAATAGTAATAAACTTAATTCTTATTCTAACAGAAATTAATATATTTTTTCATTTTAACTGATGAAAAAAGTATTCGTACAAAACAAAAAAAGCATATTATCTTAATTTAATACTTTGTTGAATATCCTTTATTGAGTTCAACAGCTACCAGTCTATTCCTGTAAGTCTCAACTAATGATTTGCACACATTGAGTGGTATTTTGTCCCATTCTTCTTGGCATATTGTCTTCAAATTCTTGATATTTGTTGGTGCTCTTTTCCCAATTTGAATTTTCAAATATCGCCATGAATTCTCGATTGGATTCAAGTCTGGGGACTGAATTGGCCATTGCAAGACATCAACGTTACTTTCAGCTAACCATTTCCTTGTAGATCTAGCAGTATGCTTAGCATCATTATCCAGTTGGAAAACCCAATCAGGAGGTAGCCAAAGTCTATCAACAGAACGCATTAAATTGTCTTGCAGGATTTTCTGGTATCTTTCGGCATTCATCTTGCCATCTATTATTGATATTCTGCCAACACCTTTTGCAGAAAAACAGCCCCAGATCATGATACTGCCACCACCAAACGTTACAGTTGGCAACGTGTTCTTTGGTAAGTAGGCTTCACCGTCCTTCCTCCACACATGATTTCGATAATTATGACCAAACAACTCTATTTTAGTTCCATCTGTGCATAGTACTTTTCCCAAACTGTATATATATATATATATATATATATATATATACCCACAAAACTGATGGTGTTGCCATGGGTTCACCTCCAACACTAACTGAGTTTTAGATTTCACCCTAGCAGGCGAAATTTTTAAACACACTGTAAACCAACAATTTGCACCCGCCAAATAACAGAATTCCCTTTTCAAAGATAATAATTAATTTGAATAAAGAAAACTGCGGTTTATCAGAGTACAACCAACTTAAACCTATACGTACTTAACTATAATGTATCAAATAGACAATATTTAATGTCTTACACATGTAATTCTTTAATGACCTTAAAACAAAAAAAAAAACATTAATTAGCAATCATTTCCCTAACTGCATAATTTTTAAATAAATTAAACTAAGCTTAAAAATAAAAACATACAAATGATAATAATGATGTAAAAAATACCATGGAGCTGTTCCCGGGAACGCTGTATTTAAAACATAGGCAAAACACTGTAACAAATCTAGTATTTTTATACAAAAAAATCAACTCATCAATTCCTATAAAAATTTCAAAAAATCTCCAACATACCAAAAAAATCAAAACTTCAACAGACTACAGACTAAGGCTGTCTATGAATTCTCTTGCAAATTTAGAGAATGTCTATCTGATAATAATAACAATTATTATTATTATTCAAATAAAATATATATATAGGTTACCCAACCATTACATTATTGAGTCGAATAAAGTGTCAGTTATCAAATAATAGTTCAATTAATTTGCCTATGACAGAAGAACAAAAAATCCGAAAAATCTTTAGCTTTATCATAAAATATTAGATGCCTTTTCATTTACGTCACTGACACCAGAGAGGAAACCATAACCAACAACCAAACTCTGATGTAATCCACTGTTTTGTTTCTGTGAAACTTCAACAAATATCACGAAATGCTATTTTTTTTTAATATGGAGAAATTCAATAACACATCTCTGCTTCATCACACTTTCATGACAAACTCGTTCAGAAATATCTAAACTGTCAGTTGTATACAACTGTTTTCTCAAACCAATGGTTAAAAATGATTTTGAGTAAAGAAAACCTGTAGAAATAAAAATATTGTTAGGTTTTCAAACATTTCGAAATTAATAAACACTCATAAATATTCTTAAGGCTAAACTGTGAAAGTCAAGGTAAACTATGGAGGATGCTAAGTGATGAAATTTAATGCCTAATAAATGAGAGAGAAAAGCTGAAAGTTATTGACTTAATAAGGAAAGGCTAAATTATGAAAGTCAAGGTAAACTATGGAGGATGATAAGTGATGTAATTTAATGCCTAATAAATGAGAGAGAAAAGCTGAAAGTTATTGACTTAATAAGGAAAGGCTAAATTATGAAAGTCAAAGTAAACTATGGAGGATGATAAGTGATATAATTTAATGCCTAATAAATGAGAGAGAAAAGCTAAAAGTTATTGACTTAATAAGGAAAGGCTAAATTGTGAAAGTCATGGTAAACTATGGAGGATGCTAAGTGATGAAATTTAATGCCTAATAAATGAGAGTGAAAAGCTGAAAGTTATTGACTTAATAAGGAAAGGCTAAATTATGAAAGTCAAGGTAAACTATGGAGGATGCTAAGTGATGTAATTTAATGTCTAATAAATGAGAGAGAAAAGCTGAAAGTTATTGACTTAATAAGGAAAGGCTAAATTATGAAAGTCAAGGTAAACTATGGAGGATGCTAAGTGATGTAATTTAACACCTAATAAACGAGAGCGAAAAGCTAAAAATTATTGACTTAATAAGGAAAGAAAAAAATTGTATATAAAGTTTACTATGATCTGCTGAAGGAACAAATCATATATTAACCTAAAAACTTATGCCGTGTTCTTAAATTGGTTCGTTCGATCGAGACTTTCCTATGGACGGCATGCTTGGTGACAGACTCCTTCAAAAATATCTAAATTGTCAGCTGTATACAACCGTTTTTCTGTTGATCGTAGCGAGAGGCTTCACTATTTGAACCTTGTGGACTGGCGCTAAAGAATCACAAAAAAAGAACTGTACCAAATAACAGAAATTACATCAGAGTCTGTCTATATTTCTGAGATGTAAGAAATTACATCGCTTGTAGACTTTCAACAGCAGCAACAGCTAAAATGGATAGCACAGGTAACTCGAAGAAATATAATGAAATATGTTGATGTTCCACACTACTTCAAATAAAAGGCTAGGAAGGAAACTCCCATCACTACTAAAAAAAACCAATAACAACAACTGGACACGAGTAACCTATTTTCCTGAAAAATTGTTTTAAGGGAAATATTTTATGAATTTCAACCGACATCAGTAATGACTGCTTGGTCAATGAATGCCGAATGTTTCCTTATAGGGAAACGGCTAATGCTGTCATTACCATTATCCTTATTCTCAGTTTAGAGAAGAAAAAAATCTAATCGTATTGAGTTAGAGAAGCTTTCATCTAGTTTAGTAGCCTTTTTTTATCTCTAGTTTAGTTCTTTAGGTAAATAAATTCGCTTGCTGTAGATTTGTGTTGTGCGCTTATATTTATAGCTGACTGACAACAACCTGTTGCAAAGTCTCGTATTTACCTGTTCTTCTTTGTTTTCTCCTGTGTCCGCTAATTTTAAGTGTTGTTTGAGATGTTATTTTTGGCAGCATTTTCCTAAAGCCTGGCGATTTGGAATGTTTTTTTTCACATGCCTCTGAAATTTTTACGCACTACTTATTCTAATAATTCAAAAATTATATTACTTCTATTCTGCATTTTATCTGTCAGCTCAGTTTCCATATTTGTGGTGTCTTAATCAGAATATCCGTTGTGTCCGTTGTAATGTCAGTCCTTCTCATGCACTCTTTCTGCAAAAGATCTCAGTGCCGATTAAGTGTCGTACCACTTCGTTCCTACATGATTTGTCCGTATTTCTCATTAGCCAAGTATGCCGACATTTTAAACAAGTTTGGAGATAGATAGATAGATAGATAGATAGATAGATAGATAGATAGATAGATAGATAGAAACCAAATGAGAAATAAACAGCTATGAACAGAATATGATAGATAGATAGATAGATAGATAGATAGATAGATAGATAGATAGAAAGAAACCAAATGAGAGATAAACAGATAGCTATGAACAGAATATGATAGATAGATAGATAGATAGATGAGCACAGACTGAGATAGATAGATAGATAGATAGATAGATAGATAGATAGATAGATAGATAGATAGAAACCAAATCAGAGATAAACAGATAGCTATGAACTGAATGTGATAGATAGATAGATAGATAGATAGATAGATAGATAGATAGATAGATAGATAGATAGATAGATGGGAACAGCCATAAACAGATATAATCAGATTGGTAGAGATAGATAGATGTGAACAGACATAGATAGACAGAGAGTGAGAGAGAGAAAGACAGACAAAGAGAGAGAGAGAGAGAGAGAGAAAAGAAGGGGGAGAAGGGCGCGCGTGAACGCGATTTGGGAAATAAAAACTGGCTGTGTATAAAGAGAAGCCAAATGGAATTGTTTTGGTTTCCCAATCAGAGTCTTTGACGTCAGGTGAAAAGAATAATGAAGTCAGTTTTCGAAAGAAAACAAAACCTTCTGTTGAAGTGCTTCCTCCAAAATGGTATCGTAGGGGTAACTGGAATAAATTCCTGGAGAGTTCCTGAACAATGTTTGCCTGTTGTCATCGAAGTCATCGAAGAAAGCTTTTTCTTTTATGGTCTGAGACAAAAAGAAAATAAGAATTGTTTTGTTTATTCATTTAACGCGGGATTCAATGATCTTGTCTCGTTTCTTTCTTTTTTTTTTTTTTTCCACTTTACATCCCCGTCTTCATTTTTGATTTCGGGATTCCTCTCACATGGCCATTCTTTTTTACTTTCTTTATTTCTTTCTTTCTTTTTTTCTTTCTTTAGATTATTTACTTTCTTTTTTCTTTCTCATACATTTCATTTTTTTCTATTTCATTGGTTTTAAGTTTCTTGTTTTCTTCCTGTGTATAATACATATACGTACATTCTTCTTCTTCTTCTTCTTCTTCTTCTTCTTCTTTCATCTTCTTCTTTTTTATTTCTTCTTCTTCTTTCATTCTTCTTCTTATTATTTCCTTCTTTCAATTATTCTTATTCTTTTCTTCTCTTCTTCTTTCATTCTCATTATTTCATTCATTAATTCTTCTTCTTCTTCCTCCTCCCCTTTCTTCTTCTTCTTCTTCTTCTTCTTCTAATCCATTACCTTCATTTTTTTCATCAAATTTTTCTTCTTCTTTATTAAATCCTTCATCAACTTCTCCTTTTGAATCAACTTCTTCTTCATCAAATCTTTTCATCAACTTCTCCTTCTTCCTCTTCTGTATCAAATCCTTCTTCTTAATCTTTTTCTTTTTCATCATCTTCTTTTTCTTCTTCTTCTCCTTTAGTATCAACATAATCAAATTCTCCATCTTGTTGCTATTCTTCTTTATTTAAAATAAACTGAAACACTCTTCTTCTTCTTCTTCTTCTTCTTCTTCTTCTTCTTCTTCTTCTTCTTCTTCTCCTCCTCCGCCGTCAACGCCTCCAGCATCGATTTAATTATAATTATTCCTTTTTTTTTCAGTTCTCCTCTTAATCAGTAACAATTTCTACTTTTTACACTTTTTGTTTTATTTTCAAACTTTTCTTTATTTTTTGTCTTTTTAATTAATCTCAAAAGTGAGTTTATTTCCTTCTCTCTCGTGTGTTACCGAAATGTCCTTCTTTCATGTCTTCACACACTTTAAGGACATTACAATGAAATATTTCCTCTAAATTTGAAATCTTCCATTTTTTTTCTCTCTCTTTTTACGCTTTTATTTTTCATTTACTTATAAAACTTTCTCAGCCTTTTTGGTTTTCTTCGTCCATCTAATTTACACTCTTCCTCTCACTCTTTCTCTGCCTATCTCTCTCATTCTCTCCCACTCTCTTTCCCATTCTCTCTCACTCTCTCACTCTCTCTCTCAAACACTCTCTCTCCCTCTCTCTCTCACACACTCTCTCACTCTCTCTCACACTATCTCACACTCTCTCTCTTTATCTCTTTCTAACACTCTCCCTCTCTCTCTCACACTATCTCCCTCTCTCTCTCCCTATCTCACTCTCTCTCACACTCTCTCACTTTCTCTCACTCTCTTTCTCTATCTCTCTCACTCCCTCTCTCTCTCTCTCACATACTCTCTCGCTCTCTCTTCCTCTCTCTCTCACACACTATCCCTCTCTCTCCCTCTCTCCCTGTCCCTCACTCTCTCTCCCTCCCTCTCTCACAATCTCTCTCACTCTCTGACGCTCTCTCTATCCCTAGCTCTTTCACACTCTCTCCCACTCCCTCTCACACTCTCTCTCCCTCTCTCACTCTCTCTCACACTCTCTCACTTTTCTCTCTCACTCTCTTTCCCCATCTCTCTCACTCTTTCCCTCTCTCTCTCACACTCTTTCCCTCTCTCTCTCACACTCTTTCCCTCTCTCACACTCTCTCACTCTCTCTCTCTCTTCATCTCTCAAACTCTCTCATTCTCTCTCACACTCTCTCTCTCCAATTTCCCGCCCTTCTTTGTCTTCATCTTCAATTTTTTACGCTTCTTCATGTTTACTCTTCCATCTCACCACCCACAATAACCATTCTTTCGCTTACTAACATTCATTTTTTTTTCCCCATTTGTCCTTCTTTCTTTCTTCCATTCATTCATCGCGTTTCACAAATTCTCTTTCTTCTCCCTTTAACGTTTCCATATACTTTTCTGAAGCCGGCAATGATTAAAAGAAAGAATATTGATGCATCAAAAGACAAATGCCAAGATGAATCGATGCTGATGTCTTTGTCTCAAAAGTCTGCAGAACAATGGTCTAGTTTGGAAGCAATAGAACGACGCGTGCCAACCAAAGATGGCATTCTTTCTTCATTTGGATTCCAGCTGAGAAGAATTTGATTCAAAATTTCCAAAACTTTAACTAAAGATATTTTCTTCAAACCAACGTTACGAATGCACGTCACTTCAATCACAAACGCTTCTCCATTCTATTTGTCTTTTACGTCCATATTTTCTTATCTATAGCTCACCCTTTCTCATTCTATGTCTTGCTCTTTCTTTCTCTTTCTCGCTTCTTCACTATGCCTGTCCGTCGGTGAGTTTGTCTGTCAGTTGGTCGATCAGTACGTTCTTCTCTATACCTACTTAGTTGTTTAAGGATCTCTCTTCCTTCATTCATATTTATCGATCTATGTCTATATGCCAGACTGCTTTTCTATTTCAGTCTAAATCTGACGCATTCCATTCATATCTGGTTGTTCTATTCTCATCAAATATATGAGTTTATTTACAGAAATATACACAGCCATACACATATGCATATATATATATATATATATATATATATATATATATATATAAAGAGAGAGAGAGAAAGATAAACAGGCACAAACGTGTGTGTCGATATACATATAAATATATAAAAGTATATTTATACTTATATATCTATATTCCGCAATATAAGAAAATAGCTGTTACTCAAACAACACTTTTCTATTTTATTCTGTTCATATCTATCTATCTATCTTTTTCATTTTTTTTCATTCTGTCCGTTTGCTTGTCTGTCTGTCTATCTATCTATCTGTGTTAGTCTATTCATATATATGTTGGTCTTTTAAAAATCTATCTATCTATCTATCTATCTATCTATCTATCTATCTATCTATCTATCTATCTCAGTTTGTTCATTGTCCATCTATCTTAATCACTTCATCTCTATCTAATTCACTTTATCATCTGTCCGTTTGTCTATCTTAGGCTTATATTCTCTCTCTCTCTCTGTACACACACAGACCCATACACACATCTATCTATCTATCTATCTATCTATCTATCTATATATATATATATATATATATATATATATATTCCACTCTCTTAATAATATCTATCTATCTATCTATCTATCTATCTATCTATCTATCTATCTATCTATCTATGTTTTTGTTTGCATTCATGTTTTTGTTTGTTTTTGCTAAACCAAACTAATTTATTTGATCATTTTATATATATTTATATTCTCTATCTATCGGTATATATATATATATATATATATATATAGAGAGAGAGAGAGAGAGAAAGAAAGAATATGAATGATAATAATAATGAAGTCTCTCAGAAGATAGACTTTAATTAATGTTACTCTGTTTTTGGCCAGCCATTTTCCTTGAGGTGTGTCTCATTAATCTCTTGAGACTTGGCCATTTTTTAAATGCCAATCCCCGGCTTCCTGTTTCGGATGTCACGTTACGATGAGCACAAAACGTTCATAAATAATAGACGCGTATGTATCAATTATAGAAAATTCGCTCTTTGTCTGATAAGAAGAATTCCGAGTTAGATATTTAGAGATTATGTCTGTAAAGTTTAATCACGTCAAGAAAATGGTAGCAATTTTCAAATACTTTCATATTCAAAACAGGCGTCTTTTGAGAATACTGAAAATTATTATTGAAAACCAGAACCCCGGGGAAATGATATATAAATTTTTATATATCAATAATAATTTTAGGAAAATCCAGTTTACCCTCTTCCCCGTGTGCATATGTAGTCTCATCAACGTATACATTACTTTTGTCCGATGAAATCCTAAAAGACTAAACGTGTCAAATAAAAACTTTTCCCACTTTGTCATAGATTTTCCTGAAGCCTCTCTCTCTCTCTCTCTCTCTCTCTCTCTCTCTCTCTCTCTCTCTCTCTCTCTCTCTCTCTCTGACGATCGCTAAAGCCTGAAACCCAGGGTCACAAACTCACATCTATCCAACCAAATATGTTAGCTCTATCTTTGATATTGAGCGTTTTTCAATAAGTACCACGCATATAATATATAAATAATTATACATATATCTATTTATTTATATTTATATACACTTTTCACACACACACACACATATATATATATATATGTGTATGTGTTTATGTGTGTGTGCGTGCGTGTGTGTGCGTGCGTGCGTGTGTGTGCGTGCGTGCGTGCGTGTGTGTGTGTACATACATTAGGGTTATAACTTTTTTGTAACCTTATGTACCTGTGTCAAAAATCAATGAACTTTTGTTTAAAAGTAACGAAAAAGGTATTAATTTGTTATACTTATATTAATTTGTCACCTCACCACTCCAAAATTTGATTTTACCATATACGTGCGGGGACAAAATCAAAATCTTTCAATTTAGTAGGTATGCAATGTCAACGCATTTAACAGTTTGCAGCTATATCATAACGTATAACCTTAATAACAAACAAAAACGTTTTAGAAAGTTCTAGAATTCTCCAGCAAATCATAGTACTACTATATTTATATAAGATTTTAGAAACCTTGCGTTAGTGGTGACATTTTTTTTTTAAATAAACTGAATTAAACCCTTCTTCATTATTTTCAACAAAAGTTCATTGAATTATGAAACCAAAAATCAATTATTTTACAAAAGGTTAAAAGTCGTAACCCTTAATACGCATATAAAGCCACACACACGCGAAGATGCCACTTAAGATGCCACTTTCGGCCGACCCCCATTTTAAACTCCATGTGAACCGTCCCAATTCGTTTATTGTGATTGATGTATCTATATGCATACCTCAAGAAATATAAGTAGATTATATTTACTATCATAAAAATATATACTACAGGTAAAATGTTGCCCCCATCCCTACATTTCTTATAAAAACACTTTAAATGAGAATTCTATTTTTAGGAACTATTAAAATTTTAATAACTGCATTGTATTTGCTTCTATTTTGACAAAAAAAGCACTTAACAATGAAGAATTGTCATACAACAGCATCATATTTTGCTTTTGCCAATAAAATCACTGCTTTACAAATTTTTGTTATTTTTTGCAAAGAGATTTTGCAAAAACTATTAGATGGCAGACCTTCTCAAATATTCTTCAAGCACTAAAAAGCTCACGCTTACTCTTTGGATATTCTCTGCGAACTCTCTTATCCAATTCATTCTTTACTAATTCAATGGAAGAGACGCCAGGAAATTAACGTCACAATTTCCAAAATATTACTCCTTTTTTATTACTCAAGGTAATTTTGAGATAATTTAGAAGGGTGTTTAGGATCCGTGAATTTTATTGAAGGATATTGTCTTTTTTTTTTTTTTTTTTTTTGTTTTTTTTTTTGTTGTTTTTTTGGGTTTTTTTTCATGATTCCTTTGACCTGAATCAAATCTCTAGTCGTTAAAATTTAGGATCTGTATTAAGATTTAACATATTTGAAAATTTTAGTAATCTCAAAAATCTACTGATGGACTAATAGTGAAAACAAAATATAATGTTTCTTATATAAAATATTTATAATTTATCAAAATATATTGTGGATAGAAGAATCGAAATTTGAAATTTTTGGTAGCAAGAGAAGCCTGGGGAGACTGAAATCAAATACACTGCAGGTACGGAAATTTTATCTTTTACTTAAAAAATACAGAAATATCTTATTTTAAGATGTTTTTAAAGACATGCAGGGTGCCTGTAGTACACACACACACACACACACACACACACACACACACACACACACACACACACATATATATATATATATATATATATATATATATATATTGTTTCTCCAATATATTGGGAGGAACAGATTTGGCAATTTATTTTATAAATGTCTTACATCTGCTTTCATGTAATTTATTATTACGGATTATGTTATTTTTTTTGTTTCGGTTGTATATTTTGTATGCTTTTCTTCTTGCGTTATGGATGAAATAATATATAATATATAAAATACATAATACTATCGAATAACTCTGTCACGTCCACTGTCCAGAATAACATAATCCATCTAAATAATCTTAAAATAATCACAAACACTTCCAAAACCATTATGGATATATTTTGTATTTTATCAGTACGGTGATTTGAGCGTGCCAAATTATTAGAAAGGTTTAGTAAAAATCTCAGAATTGAGCAAACAAAACGTTTATTAATGTTGCACGTGAATGTTTATGATCAAAAGAAGCTAATAAATAAGATAATCAAACAAATAATAACAGATACAAACAAAGGCACAGTTTTAAACAAATTAATAGGGAATGTGCTTTCCCAGTAGAATTTGTTAATTGTAGGATGTCATCTGCTGTAATGCCACGAGATATGTCAAGAATTGCTTCCCACAACTCAGCGTTGCTCCTGAATTGTCGTCCGTTGGCGTACAGTCTTCGCTTCATGATGCTCCACTGGTTTTCGATTGGGTTCAAATCCGGAGAATTTGCTGGCCACTTCATTTTTCGAGGTCCATCGAAGCCTAACTGTTTCAAATATTCAGTAGTTTTGTGAGCAGCATGTGAGGGAGCATTATCTTGCATAAAAATAATGGCCCTTCTGAAGGCAAGTCTTTGCCTTTTCATCCACGGTTCAAGATGCTCCTTCATAAACGCTATGTATGCATCAGCAGTTATTTTGACGCCATCTGGTACTCTCCATGGGCCCACTAATGTTTTTCCAATAATACCACCCCAGATCATTATGCCTCCACCGCCTTGTTGGCGTCTCAAACGCCGTTCATTACCCAGCCGTTGCATTTATCTGGTCCATCAAATGTTGTTCGAGTTTCGTCTGTGAACAAAACTTTAGAGAAGTCAATCTTCATATTGTCCTCGGCCCATTTCAATCGATTTTGAATGTGATTTCTCGTCAACGGAGGCTTCGATACAGGTTTGACTGTTGTTGATATTTTCCTTAGATACCCACACCGAGTACTTTTAGACACAGTATGATCCCTGTTTTTCCCTGTTTGATGACACCTCCCTATCATTTTAGAAATTTCTAGGGTAGATTTACCTTTTGAGAGTTCTGAGGTGATAGTTTTCTTTTCAGCATCACTTAAACTGCTTTTACAGTCCATCTTTTCACTAAATTCTTACACTTTTCTAATAATTTGGCACGCTCAAATCACCGTGCTGATAACAAATATGGTGCCAGTTTGTTTACATTGCGCAGATCAGGTCGAAAATTTCAGTGATTGCGCAGGTCAGTGTTGTCAACATTGTGTGAATTGATTGGACGGTTTTTGAAATATTATAAAAAAAAGTTATCTCGATAATAATTTGGCACGCAGTGTATATATTCATAGTTGTTCTTCTCCTAGACCAGTTGCCATTCAAGGCTATAGAACCCAGTCTGTCCTGCTATTTTACCCATAGCTGGAGGGAAAAGAGGATTCATACCTTTCCCAAGGGTATTAGCACATAAGTGAATGTAATAGATTCGACTGGAATTCGAACTCGGCTCTCCGATTCCTCAATCCAAGCCGCTATCCATTACTCCACCGAGCCTCAGAATTCTAAACCTGCGGAGGGTCGTTTGGGGAACTTGTGGCACTTAGTGCACCAAATCTCTGCATTCGGCCCTTCACAAAGTGTGACTGGTCCTGCACGAAACCTTCACCACTATAATCAAATCTCATGTGCCGGTGTCGGGCTGTCGGTTTCCTGAAAACTGATCTGCTTGACCCTCATACGTCGAATTCGACGAAGTCGATTATATATATATATATATATATATATATATATATATATATATATATATATATGCGTGTGTGTGTGTGTGTGTGTGTGTGTGTGTGTGTGTGTGTGTGTGTTTGTTTGCAAGTGTGTGTGCGGCAGAAATACTGGTCACCCATACCACCTAGAAATACCACCAACATAAGGGGAAAACATTAGTTAGATGAAGACAGCATTGCCGCTAATGTATTGCCATTATATGAAAGGTCAGATATATGCCGGAGGTTTTTCTACCTCACCTTGTATTATTCAGAATTCTATTCCAACCTTAGGAAGATCCACGTTTCAATCCATTCCAACCCATGCTACTTCGTTATCGGTCGTAAAATATATGAACGACCTGAAAACTGCGATCAAAATGTTTAAAACTAACAAACATTTTTTTGGTCATTCAGTTCTAATCACAAATCCTTGCAGCTTGTCACAAAAGTTAAAAGTGTACAAGTAAATGAAGACATTAGTCTTTACGGAATATATTTGATTAGTATATTTTCACGCGACTCCCAGGTCTTTTGAATAGGAGTAGAGGTTTGTTCCTTGTTTCCTGTTTAGGATTGGGTTTCTTTCTCTTAAAGTCTCCTCCTCTCTTTCACACTCAGTAGCCCCTTGCGTCTTTGTGACATTATCGCCTTGATTTTGGCTGAATTGTTTAACAAAATTGAGTGCTAAATCGCGAAACTCTAATCAACTGTAAATTGGTTAAGAATCACACCTAGTAAGATCTTCTTTCACACAAGCAATATAGCTTTCGTTTTTCTCGATCAACTAATGATATGTTAACGGTTATTGTCGGAAATAACTGGCAAGCTTTAAATAAGAATGATATTGCTATAGATATCTCGAAAGCGATTGACAGGGTCTTCTTGAGATGGATGAATATTTGGGATAGTTCGCTAAGTAATTTTCGTTAGGAATCTGCCATCCTCGTTCTTAAAAACAACTTCAAAGCGTCCGTTTGTCCAACACAAGGTCTGACCAAAACTAACGATCAAAAACCAAATGAAAACTACAGATAAAGTTCACTTTCTTCAGAGACAGTCATTTACTCCGGTAGCTCACTACTACTAACAAGCAGGGATTTTTTTCTCCTGATGATGGCCATGCTGGCCGAAACTAGTCGAGGAACCTAATTGAAATAATAAAACAAAAAATGTTAATATACAACCCAGTGTTTCTGAAAATTTTGAATTTGTTAATATTT